CTTCGTAGCATAAAACATATAAAGATTCCTTAGAGATTCTGGGCCATATTGACATGATGGCTTCATGCAGCTGCTAGAGATTAGCCGCAGAGTTATTCTGTGTTAAATCTATGCCGTAGGTACTTTGTAACTACAAATCCCTTTGAAACCCAACAATGTAACCTATGCCGTAAACTGATGTGCGCCTCTGTAGAAGTGTAGCTACACATCACATCGAACTTTCCGCCTCTTAAGTCAGAAGTCATCAACTATTTCCAGATCCAAACACTTCTTCACTTCCCAAACTCAAACAAACACCGTGGTATCACTGAGAGTTCAAAATGACCCAAAATGATCTCATCTTCAATAAAATGAAACTTCAGATCAAACACAACACAAAAGCATGAATGTTGGTAACGGCATCACTTATTTATCTTCGTTATATTGTAGACTGGACAAAGATTCACCACAGAAATCTAAATCCAGTTCATCCTATAACCGTGTGCCTCGTTCACAGTGTGTCGTGGGGTTTAACTCAGAAATGGCTGCCTGGACCTTCTTCGTTCAAATGTCTAATATAATAATATTAATATATAAATGTATTTAAAAATTAATTAATACCTAAATACCTGCCACACACTATGCTTGGCTTATTTATTTACTGATGTCTTTATTTGTTAAATAATCAGTTATTTCCTTATTTTTGTTAAAGTATCTTGAAAAGAGCCACAAGAGTTGTTAGTAAGAAAAATTATAGCTCTGCACCAGTGTAAAACAGACCCTCCATTAATCTCATCAGCAACAACCACTATTTTAAATAATAAAGTCTACAGTAGTGTATATTACAGCATCTTCAAAACCATTCACTGCGATTTAAACAAGTGAAACAAACTTGGTACTGAAGTTATAGGTTACAATGTGTGAGAGCTACAGCCCACTGTTAAGCAGTGCACAAATCATACACAGTGAGAAGCTGCCTCAGATCATCGGAAACCTTCAACCTTCACATCCTGCCCTGACTTTTAAATCCAAAATATGTGAGAATTTTTCCATTTTGCTACTTAATGTCAGATCAAAGACAGAAAGTAGAGCACAAGCCTTTGTAGCCTCGTGAAAATAGAAATGAATGCCTGAATGTTTTCATCTGCACACAGAGACCAAAATGTGCTGATACCTGCTTTACTTTTGATATATTAGTAAGCATTAGGCATCAAGAAAGGTTGCTGGTGGTGTTTCAGTGCTTCATCTATACTATATAAACCCAGCCGGGATTACAACCACATCCAAACAGGCTGGTCTCAGTTACAAATGTCCTGCCAGGAATCACCGCAAGAACCAGTGTTCAAAGTATGTTCTGATATTTCACCATACACACATAAATACTTGCCAGCCATCAGAGCATGTGTTAACGCGTGTGTAACTTTCTCCGCCTCGGATCAAATACGCACCAATTAAACCAATATACACACACACACGCATACACGTGCAGTTTTAGATGGCAGCACAGTGTGCCCCGACTGTATTCTGTAGCTTTTACGACTTACCTCAGACCTTGACCTGATAATGACTTCATACTAAGCATTGAAACTACACTGACAAAAACATCTGAAAGTGTATATGAATTTCAAAAACACACTCATACACACACTCCGAGTCTGACCTGTGACAATGCCATAGTTGGGAGATTCCAGCACGGCTCCATAAAACTGAATGATGTTCTTATGACTCAGTACACTGAGAATCTCAGCCTGGATGAGGGGTCAAGAAAAAGAGAAGTATGTAAGTAAGTATGATCACCGTCATTAACTTAAGTTTTACAGTACAGGACTCTTTTAATCTTTTAATAACTCTTTTAATAATCATTAATCACAGGATGTTAGGCTAACTTAAATGTTAAAACCAATTTTAAAGTTAATCCTGATTGCGTCTCCGGGATTCCTGAGCTTAGGCCGGAACTTATTCCATTCCACAAGTTATCCAAACAAAAACCCTCCACCCTGCAGCAGTAAACAGGCCATAAATCTGAAATAACATCTCGATCATCATCTTTGCATGTGTGGAATATGTAACTTTTGCCAAGCAACATAATAAACTAACAGTGAAATGGATTTACTTCAATCAAGCATTGAGCAAAATATTTTCTCTCTAAATATTATTTTTTTCCAAAGAGAGATTCATCATTCTGGGTTTACTCTCATCTATTGTTGTAAGGCTATCAGAGCAGGAAAACGATGCATGAAGGCTCCACATGAAGCTGCACTTCTCACATTATCCATCAACTTGTATTTACACATGAACTATGCAGACAGCTTTATGCATGCATGCCCACCCTCTGTGTATTTTTGTGTGTCAGAGAAGTCGCTCAACCGACAAAATTTCTTCCCTGTGTAATCTTATGAAGTTGGCCCACTTGTGACGCCACCTTTTATTTCTCTATAATGCATGTGTGCACTTGCTTTTGTATTATATAAAATCTGACACTGTGAATGAATACACCCACAGGCCCCAACTTCAGTTTCCTGACACAGACCCATTAGCCTTTACCAGCCCGGGATCATTAACATGGAAGGAAATCATGCAGCCCGCCTCATACTCGTGGAGACTCACACCCAGGCCTGAACTGAAGTGAATTAAGCCTTGAGGTACTATTCACCTCGGCCTAACATACAATGGGAGGAACAGGGGAGTCCAGGCATAAATAAAACTGCTATATCTACAAAGAGTGGGAGGAGGAGGAGGGGGCATGAGAAGCAGTATGTTTAAGATAAACACATGTACAATGGCAGACAACAAGGGAGGGGGAGGTGGGGGAATGGGGGGGCTTTGGATCCAAATCTGGGTATTGAGTGGAAAGTAACCGTTTTTGAAGTTTTGAGCAGTAACGTCCCACGAAGGAGAGAAAATACCTAATGACTACTGTACATTATGTGTGTGATTGGTCTACGTCTGTGCGTGTCTCCACTTTACCTCTTTGTCGATCTTCAGAAGCTTCTTCACAGCCACTTCCTTGTCCTGGGATATCCAGAGAGCTCTGTAGACGCTCCCAAAGCTGCCTCCACCGCAGTTCTCGTAGAAGAGCAAGTCCTCATGCTTTATCTGCACAAACGACGAGCCAGGGGACGACATGGCATACTGACTGACTCCCGCGCACTCAAACACACACACACATACACGCGCGCAGCAATAAAGTGTGACTGCCCAACTACCTAACCGCTATCCCGAAGGTATACAAGTCACGGATGAGCTGAGAGCAAGTGAAGGAGAACGACACAAAAGAGAAGTGAAGTAGTTTCCTCCGCAGGGCCAGAGTGGATGTTGTCGGTCAGCAGAGCAGATTGTCAGGGAGAAGAAACCAGAAAGGGCTGGAAAGAGAGAGCGAGAGAGAGAGACGTTTGCTCCCTGTGAGTGAGGAAAAGTCAACTGTCACTACCAGACAAGGTATTACATTGCCTGATAGTGGTGATCCAGTGTAACTACAACACAGAGCACACACACACATACACACATACACAAGCTTGAAGATGAGGGAGAAGTGAGCGTTGACTGTGTGCAAGTTACGGTTTGCAGTCAGTGTGTGCAGTCTGTCTGCAGCAGACACACAGTTCAAATATGGTCATTGGCATCCCGGGCATTCCTTCTTCCTGGATAACTGTGGCTATATAAAGCTCTGCATGCACACACACATACAGCTCTGGCTTATAGCGCGTCTGACATAGTGTAAATCATTTAGGAACAAAGTTGTTGCTGCCTCATATGCACCTAAATCTATCCGCTCACACTCTCTGCAGCTAAAAACACACACTCACCAGAGAAGCCAGGCAAGGCCGGCGTGTTACTCAACCAGACAGGAATGACCCACTGACATCAACAAGCAGGATAGCTGTGCTGACATCACCGTGCAGGGACAGGTGAGATCAGCCATGGGAAGTTAGGGACACTTGTCACTTGTTGACTGTAATCGAGTACAAATGTAGACTTTGTGGTGATTCACTGAATAAATAAAACACGACAAACGCTGCCAGCAGCTCTTAGAAGCCGTAGTGAATCATGACAACATGTAGTACAAATGCACTGTATAAAATAAACAACATCCCGAGAGACCGGCTGCTTGAAGAGATAAAAATTTACAGCTAAAAATGAGTTTAAAAATACAGATGGCGAATGGAAATTGTGATGCAAACGTTATTCGCCGCCATGCAGTTTCAGTGTAGAAACTTAGAGGCGCGGTATTTCATTGCAGTTCAGTTTTTGGATGAAAGGTTGGTGAATATAAAAAGTCTGGGATCCATAAGAATCCCTGTCACGGCTCATTCAATACTGTGCTCAGCGCTGCTTGTTTTCTGTTTCTAATATTCAGAAATGACCCATTCAAGGGGAAATGTTTAAAGCTATAACCCACTGTACACAGGCCTCAACAGAATTTACAGCAATGACATTCAAAAAGACAAAGTCCTGCAACATCCCGGTGTCAGAGTACCCTCATGTCTGCCAAACTCCACAACTCAGTTTGCAGTTTTAGTGTAGAGAAAAGCTCAGTGGTACAAATCAAAATGCACTGGCCTGGCAATAACATTGTTCTCTATCCTACAAGTGTTGCAAGTGTTTTCACCTCTTCACCTTTTCCTCTCCTCTATCATTCCTAGGAAGTGGATGAAATCTCCACTCTTTACACTACAGTTTATCTCATTTGTAGTATTCCTAGGATCAGCTCTTTTCAAGTCCAAACAACACTGAGCAGTTCCCACTATAGTGCCTCCCTGTTCCTGTCTTTCACAGAGGTCACATGTAAGCAAATGCCAGTCTTTGTCACATTTTAGTTTTTCAGGCCTCATGTGTTGGCGTACCTGCCTTCAGACGTCAACTGAAGTCAAAAAGCTCGGCGGCAGGCTTCTCCAGTGGCGGCTGAAATATTTTTGATTTTCCCTGGATATTCTTTGCACGACAGATTTTCCAACAACGTCATCCCTTCAGCTCCACCACACGCACTGAAATATCACAGTCTCAAGAAGGTTACCAAACCGTTAGAACTGTTAAATTAGCTATTTTTATTTACAAGGCAGACTACACAGAGTACAGTTAGAGGCTGCTTTGGGAAAAGGCAGCCTCGCTGCAGTTCTCAACACACACCAGCACAGCAAAAGCTCCTGAGATCAAAGCAAAATTAATGACACTTGTAAAGAACGCACTCAAAATCTACACGCACATATACAAAAATAAAATTACATGGATTGAACACAACTGGTAGAGATGACAAGATTTTCCCCTCAAAGTGTAAGTTAGACTCTGTAGCTGCAGTCGGTCCAAATCTAAGACATTGCAACTGACAGCAGAACATATCCGGGATGGTTTATACGCTTGGCTGCACCCTAATTCCAAATAAAACTCACAATAAATACTACAGTGACCCATTTGAACACTGCCGGTAATACCATGAAGGATTTAATCCGACTAATACTCTGTTAAGTAGGTTTAAAGTGTCTAACTAATTAATGGACACTGATATTTACCTAAAGGACATCAAATCCTACAGATTTTCAAAAGTCCTTATAGACTTATTTAGATTATAAAGTAAGAGATTTAATATTGACCAGGGTAAACAAAGAGTCTCGATCACTACAGTTTGTGGGGTTTCCTGTTTTGCGTCTATGAGTGGGATCATCAGGATAGAACGATTTGCTCTACAGGCAGGTACAGTACTTTATTGTAAACTAGGGCTCATTTGGGGTAGCACGACATTACAGGACACTCTGATAGAAATCCACTGTATAGAACACAAGGTCTACGGATTTCAGTCATGCAGGATATTGATTCAAGTTCTATACATTACAGTTCTATCTAACAGGTCCCAAACAGTAATAATTAGTACGATATGAACCCTCAGCCTGTTGACTGAGACACGGCGACAAGAGAGCAGCTGAACGGCTTCTGTTTGTTCAGGGAGAAGAGGCTTTTCACGGCACAGTCCTTAATAGTCCATAATAACACTAAAGTCACTGAATGCTGCGATTTGCTACTGTTGTGTTGATTTATTTTTTTTTATGCTAACATCACAGAGAAGGCGTCGTGGTGGAGGGTCTGGAGCTCATGTCCGCCGAGGCTCCAGCCGGTAGGAGAGCTGCGTCAGCGCCCTCTGGTTGTCAATCACGCAGAGCTTCCTAACGTAACCCCGGACCTCCGCTTGATTCTTGTTCGGCTGGCAAATGTCAGGATCTAACATTAGGCAGAGATAAAGCAGACAAAAAACATTGTTTACAGTCTGTCTGCAAGGCCGAAAGATTAGAGGATAAAAGTGTGCTCATGAATAATAAGCAGACTTACTGAATGGCTGGCTTCTACAGTGTCTCACTTGTCGAATTGTGTTTGCTATAATACGCTGATGGAACAAACAGAAAACAGCTTTAGATGCTGTGCAAACATGAATGAAGAACAACACGGCACTAAGAAAACTGCATGCAGAAAACATGCTCTCTCTTCTTTCTGTGAAAAGGAACCCACCATTTTCTCAAAATTGACCATGTTGTCAATGAATGTCTTGTTGCCCTCATGTGTAAATGTCATATCTGTAAAGAAATAGGTTCAAATGAAGCACAACCCAAATCGTCCATCTTCAAGTACTTCCTATAGCCCTGTTAAGCCCTGTACTGAGTCATACCTTTTAGAAGAAGTGGCACAAAGGGGATAATCGGTGGTTCCAGTTTGGTAACAGTAAGTCGGTAGGACCGGTGGTTCCTTGATGGGTCCTATTGCCAAACAAGTTTCTGGTGTTAGATACATTTATAGATGACGTTTTTTTCTTTAAAACACATACTGTTATGCCACCAGCCACTTATTAGGTATGTCTTTTAACTGGACATTGAAGCAAATATCTGATTGGTCAATCACATGGCAGCAACTTCATGCATTTACGCATGATAACATGGTCAAGACAACTTGCTGAAATTGAAACCAAGAATCAGAATGAGGAAGAAGGGTTATTTAAGTGATACAGTAGTATAGTTGATGGTGCCATTCAGGCTCATCTGAGTATTTCACAAACTGCACAAACTTCCTTCTAGGACTTCTAGGATGCTAGTCAGAATTCAGCATAAAAAACATAAAAACATGAATCCTTCCTACTTTATATCAGCGGTTCGGGCTGTTGGTGGTGATGTAAGGTGTACATGAATACTGTTTCTGACAATGTATATCCTTTTATGACCACTTAAAGGGACGACTGCTTCCAGCAGGGATACCAAATCACATCAGAAAGCTCAAATGATGAAACTGGAAAAATGATTTCCAGATTCCCCAGATCTCAGTGCAATGGAGCACCTTTGGGATGTGGTGGATGGGGAGATTCACATCATGGATGTGAAGCGTACAAATCTTCTGTGTGTTGCTGTCATATCAATATGGACCAAAATCTCTGAGGAATGTTTTCAGCATCTTGTTGAATCTGTGGCAAAAAGAATGAAAGCCTTTCTGAAGGCAAAAGGTTGTCCAACCTGGTATTAGTAAGGTTTATCTAATGAAGGGGCTGGTGAGTGAACACCCATGCAGTTGACTTTCCCTTCATTATTTTGTGCATCTGTCACCAAGACAACAGGTTTGAACCTAATTTTGTTTGTAATACTCATCACTGAAAACCAGAGACATTTACAAAGAAAACAAATATTTCCACAAGAAGGATCTGTTTTACTCTGAGGAGACAGCAGGAGACTTATAAAACCAAAGCGGCAGTATTAGCATGGTTGAATACAACTAAAAGTTTATCCATAATGAATTTCAATAGACTTGAAAATGAAACTCACCATCATGTTCTCAAACTCAGCATAGAACTTCTTAAACTTGGTGGGAAGTTTCTGTCAGGAAAAGCAGATGGCATCTCAGTGAATCGAGGATTTAAGCCACAGCAGCATGCAGATCTGGTTCACAGCATAACTGTTCGCGGATTATTCAGTTTTTCAATAAAATTTACCTCCCACGTCTGGCTCAGTCTGCTCACAGCAGGGTTGCTCATCCCCATGATGATGGCAAAGAATGAATTGAGGTTCTTAAATTCTCGACAGCTGCAGACAGACGCACACAAGCAGAAACCAAAGTGAAAACCAACAACATCCAGCTCAGCTTCCTCTACTGTTAGCTAGAAATACTTCACTTAGTGATGTGCGTCACATTAACAGCCACATCCTACTCACTGTGCCGCTATCTTGATGAACTTCTTGAGGAGCTGGACTCTCTTGCTGAGCTGTCCGCAGAGGCAGACTTCAGTGACGACCCACAGCTGGACCTGGTTGAACCTCCTCAGGAACAAGTCTAGATTAGCCGTGGTTCGTTTAAAACTTTGGCAGCCAAACGTGTGGTAGAGCAGCTCATGCTGTGGAAGAAGACAGGGGAAACAAGAAGAAGAGCAGGTTGAGAGGTGAGAGATCCTGCCGGTTTAACAACAGTCTGTGAAAAAGCAAAACTGCTGAAAATGAACTGACTCTGACTCTAAAACAAAAGTCTTTGCAACACTTAATGTACACAAAGGTGAGCAGGATACCTCATGAACACAGCTGAAGAGCTCCCAGTCAAACATCGTCATTTGATAAGCCAAGTCCTTGGAGCTCATCAGCTCAAAAGTTGACATGGAGCCTGCAGTGGGCCCTTCCTGGTCTGGAAGAGGAGTCTTGAAGCGCACAAAAACAAAAACCAACACAGTTTCATTGTTTTCCATCAGCATATAAAACTAATATCTTCTTGCTTCGAGGCCACTTTTTACCAAGTACTAAGTGCATTTCTTGTATCCTCTATATATATTTGCAAAAATATTTAATTTAAGGTGGTAATGCAGTTTAATAACAGCATAGTTCATAACATTACTCTCTTACTAGACTGTTGAGCTGCTCTCGAGGACAGGCAAATAATCTCCCATTGATGCTCAAAGTAGAAAACACCGATACATCATTTGGCTTCAAGATTTGTTTTTCTGTAACAAAAATCGGGACAGATTCACTTTCACAGCCACATAAGACACCATCACGTGCAAATTATTAAAAAGGTACACAAAAGTGATAATCTACGAGTAGACGATGCCGCAAGCTAACGCCTCTCCACGTTTAAGATGATCTGTTTTCTTACCACCCGCAGAGCTGAGGTGGACCAGCAGGAGCTCATCGGTAGTGCCGAGCTTGTCCGTCACGGCACTGATCACTTCTCGTCCCGTCGCCGCCACGGGAATCCTGATTGTAGTGTAGGTGTGATCGCTGCAGTACACCTTCAATAGGACTGCACACGCACACGTGAAATTAATACAGTGATATGGTATGTGACAGCTCCTGATCTGTGATGACAAAGAGCTGCTTCCAAGATGAAGAAGCAGGAAGCTCACAAAGCTCACTGAAGGTTTTGCCTTTTTGTAGTCACAGACTGAATTATTCAAATATGAAAGCCGGCTCATTTCGATCAAATCAAAAGTTTATATATTTTTTTAAAAGTTAGCCCTTGGATCTCTGTTAGAGTGATGACTGGGGTCTTTGTCTGCCTCAACCAGCTGTCACACACATGAATGACAGTTAAATAATCATGTTGTGGATCTATGCTGTCAACCTATCCGTAAGATTTTGTCACACCTTTTGTGCAAACACAAGTGGCAGCATGACAGGCAGGGTAAGGGAATATTCTTATCTAATCTGTCTTATGAAAATGGGAAAATCCACTTTAAATAGCACATTCCAAGGCAACTTGGCAAACTGCTGTCAAAACGTCTTTTTCCTTCAGGTTCAATATGAGTAAGAAAAAAAATACATAAATCACACAAATGCACAGAACTTACTGTCATCTTGATTTCTAATTGGCTGTTTCTTCTGCAGCCTTTCCTCTCCGTTGCTGAACTGTCGTATTAGGGTCTTCTGTTGAATAAATTATATGACAGCATCCAGATAACTACGGATGAAGCCGACATGTGAAGTGGACTGTAAAATTGTATCGAAAGTTATATAACAGATGTACCTTTTTTGTTGCTTTGGCCTCTTCGGAGCTAAAGAAAAAAATTTAAAGTGATGCAATGAATTTGTCATGTGCATAAAGCAATGACAATAAATGTTCAGCCCACAGAAACATACTGCAATTTGACGACTTTCTCCAGGTCAGGTACCAAATCTTTCAAAGCTCTCAGCATCCGGGAGTCATTGGATAGACTTCCATACAACTCCTACGGAGACAGAGAGGAAGAATTGCTCAGACTATGCAGAAGATCTGTGTGATTTCCTACATTTGAAAGGCTCAATGTGCTCACCTCCAGGAAAAAGATCGCAGCAGGTTCCTCTTGTAGCAGGTAGGTATGTGCGTTTGCCCAGCGCAGGGTCATAATCAGGGCTCTCCTTTTACTGTTGAGTGCATACTCCAACCTCTCCTGTTCAGAGCCAGGCGGCGATGTCACATGGTACGTGCACACAAGGTTAAAGGTAAATAGAAAAGCGTTGAACCATTAAAGTAAATAAACACAGATATATGCATACCTACATCTATGTCTCCATTTATCCTCAATCAAAAATGTACCTTTCAAGCAGCTTTAGTTAAAATAAAGTGAGCTTTGAGATCATTCATTATGTTAAAAAAAATGAATAAAGCATGGGATGTATTGCGTTAACTGCACAGTGCTAAACTTACATTACAACAGCTTAGGGAAGAAATACCTGTGCAACTGGGATTACAATTTGTTACTAAGGTGTGAAGGGAACAGCTGCTCAACTGCTGCTTCAGCACTTCCACAAGCAGAAACTGATGTTTCACAATCTAAAAATGGCGCCGGAAGTGTTGTTACATTACGCAGCAAACCGTGAAGAAAACCAGGGTTATGCACCCAACATGAGACCTGTTTATATTTATTTTTTTTCACACGCACAGTTTAGATACAGCAGGAAGGAAATAAAGAATTTAAAGACAAAAAGGATATTGTGACAGGAGCAGAGGGCACAGCTGGCTGTTGGGCATGAAGACACAGTGCATGAGGACAAAATCATCCACTGCTGGGTCTGACACACGGGAAGAAGCAGAGTCAGTAGCAAGAAACGAGCAGATATTTAATTTTTAATGCATTCATCCTGTCAGTAGATAGTACTAATCCAGAGTCTAACCCAGACTCATGTAAACCCCTGAAACTTGTTTTAATGCTGTTTTTAGCAGCAAACCTTTTCAAACCACAGCAGAATATCCTATTTAATATCATGTTTTATAGTAAAGAAAATACTGAATGATCAATTTCTTGTTTAAAAGTTCACATTAGTAACATTTTTTAATAAAAGACACTCTTCAATAATTCATAATTTATGCTATAGTTTATGAGTATCCTGCAATATACTATCCTGACAGCATACAATCCCAAATTAATCTGATCATTCAGCTCTGCTACCTGGGTCACTGTGATGTATGTCCATCCTCATCGTCTCCAAGAAGTGCTCAAGAATCTTCTCTGGAGTTCCTGATATCACAGTGTACCTGCCAAGATCACCAAGGATCACATAAAAAACCCAAACATTTTTAATAAAATAGAGAGGAATACACATATACTGCAAACACAGTTTTAAAGTACTTTTAGGTACAGTGTGTATACACCCAAACACATACTTTATGTTTCCCAGTGTGGAGGCTCGAGGACTCTTTTCTAACACCAGCACAGGGTGATCGTGCTCTTTCAAACGCACCGTGTTAGCTTCCACATCCTGCGGAATAGAATAGTTCAAAATGAGTGCAGTACCATTCATCTGCCAGAGGAGGGAGACAAACATCACAGGGGCGGCGGCGTCATGAGCGATTAAAGCATTATGAGACATTATTGCTTTACACAGCTTCAGAGGATGATGCATATTTTCCCTCCCCTATTTTCAGATCCTGATAATACAGACACATTTTTCAACAAAGGGTTGCTATGTGAAATAAATACACATGTGTACCACTGCCTTGCATCAGTTCTTTATTCATAGTCATTGGGAAGGAGGAAAGCAGATGCTGGCTTTAATAACTAAATGTTTCCACCATTTTTTCTTCACAGATCTTCGATCAGATCAGGGATAACTGTCTGCCTACCCTGAGTATCCTGTTGAAGTCTTCCTTATCCACACGCAGGAAGTGACAGTTGTCCTCTCTCAGGACGATGGATGCAGCCCGAGGCGAATCTGTAACCAGGGCCAACTTTCCAAAGTCATCACCCTCGTGAAGTGTGCACACCACACCCTGACACACACAGATGAACACACAACTTGCTCAGACACATGTTCAGTTTACAAGCTTAAGATCTGAAGAAAAATACCAGGAAGGACGAGTAACTTTCTGAATCATCTTTGCATTTCTGTACATGCGTGATCAATCCGCGTGCAGCGTATTTGCCTGTACACTGGTTGTGTGGGGTATGAGTACAATCCCCTAAGCCAGTTAATCACAGTGATGAGTCACGATGAGCTATGCACAGTTTGCCAAACTCACTGCTGGTGTTTCCCAGCCCTACAGGGAGCACAAAACGGCTCGGCTCTTTGCAGATCCGATGAGCTACATATTTTGCTCCATTACATTCAGACTGAATATCATCAAATGAAGCAGAAAACTAGAACAACGTTAAAGTATCAAACTAAAGAACATAAGCAGGTAGATGGATGGAAGCCTTTCGAGCGCACCCACACACCTTTCCATAGATAACCACATTAACGGAGCCCTTCAGGATGATGTACCATGATGTGCCTTCTTCTCCTTGGTTAAACACTGAAAGGTAATGAAAACAAACACATATTAGTCCTAGCACACACATTCTGTACACCTGAAGTTTTTCAAATTGTGAGGCATGTTTCTCCTCTTAGAGTCAGAACTCAAGTCACAAACACAATTGTTAAATCTAGACGTCCCTTTTAGAATATATCATTTTCTCTACATGGGTGTAGCACAGGGTGAGGCTAATGGGTTAGCTATCATGAAGGTAGCTCTCTTTTTATGTGGTTAGATCACCGTGGTAACATCTGCTGAACACATAACCTGGTCAGGAGTAGGTTATATTTAGTTTCAGTGCAAAATTGGCTGCAAGCACCACATTATCACTGACACACTATCTCTGTCTTCTCTATATATGCAAGCTGTCGAGCAGTACTTTATTAACACCACAGAACAAAACAGCAAGATAGCTGTAAATTACTGTAAGTAATATTAACACAATTTTAAGAACAACTACTCATGCACTACATAAAGTTACTTATACATTACTTAAATTTAATTACAGTATATTTATTTCTCACCTCCTTATTCTAGTAAACCTACCTTTACGTATCTGTAAGTAAATTTAATTATATTGTGATTTCAAATAAAATGCATCGAAATTCCATTTAATTACAGGACAATTAGTCACAGGCCGAATTATAAAGTGTTACTGAGTAATCCACTGATGGCTGTTTCCATAAGCATGCTCCAGCTGCTAAAAGATAGATACACATTAAGACTGCACTGCAATCAATAGCACTAATGGAAATTTAAAAACTGATCTATGCAACTTTTTTTTTGCGCTGTTCTATAAATACTTTGTCCGGAGTAATCTTAGATCCCCTTTTTAAAATGGATGGTTCAGTTCAGTTGCCTCAACTTGTCCTCGCAGGGGACCAGTACTGTCTGACAGGCTGAAAGACCTTTTTACAGAAGGAAAAATGTATTCTGTGACAGAAGAAGACTCACACACAGTTCCAGCTTTTGCATGTGACTCAAAGATCACCACACTCGCCAGCTCCCGCTTCACCTGCAAACCAAAACAAACTGCTTCAAAACTCTTGGATTTTGCTGCCCTGCAGACAAAAACGGAAACTAAACAAGAAGATGCCCAGATCAAGGTTTTTAAAGGTTATAAAAAGTGACCTGAAAGTAGGTAAATTACTGTTGCCAAATAAAAATACACCTTCATAATCTCTGTAGTTATTACAGACCTATTAATGGTATAATACACATTTCCACGTGGCAGTAATGTGATTGCATAAACGAAAAAAAAAGAACAACAAAAGTACTTCTGGAGCCAGAACACATTTAATTAATTCTGCGCATGGAAAACGCCTGCGAGCACAGAACAGACTGAGCACCACACTGTCGAGATAAATAGCATAACAGCTTCTTCTTCTTCCATTTTTAAACATAAAAAGATCGTGATGTGGGGTTCTGATGCATTAACAATGTTCTTGGCATCTTGTATGTATGTAAAAGAGTGGCACACCAGCTAACTCACAGTGTTGGAGAGGTGAGCTAAGGCCTTGATGTGAAGCAGCTCGTCATAGATGATCTCTAGGTCATCGCCTGTTCTCTGACCAGGCCTGCAGACACAAAGGAGCGAGTCACAATGCAGTCACCATAAAGACTTCATGCATGCACATCAATAAAGTTGCTTATGACAGATGATCTCTGCCTATTCTTTCACATGCTTTATATGAAGAATGTTGGTATGACTGGATATGACTGGGTTCAATTAGCGAACACTTCAGCACTCTGGTATCAGAGGGGAATGTTAATTATTGGATAAAAAGCAACACTATATTGCCAGATATTGTTGCTTTTAATGTATTTTGAATCTGTATTTCAAGACTAAATAACAATACTGACGATTTCCTGAGGATCATGCGCAGCAGTGCATCAGGGCCAATCTGGGCAAGAAAGAGGATGGTCTCCGGCAGCTCTTCCTCACTTTCCCTCTTCTCCTCCTCACTAGGTAACGGTGTGTCCTCCTCCTCATCGTCAAGAAAACGGTAGAAGAGGTATTTGTCATAGAAACCGAGCTCCTGGTCCACTGGAGAGCAGAGAAGCACACACAGTCAAAGCATCAGTATAAACGAGCGTGCATGCAGATGAACTGTTTTCTCATCTCAGAGCATTTCAGCCATGTTCTTTGAAGTGAAGGACTTTGAGATTGGATTCAATTTATATGTTATATTCATGCTTGGAAACTCATTAATTCTTACTCTAGCATTCAAAGAGAAACCCTCCCTGATGATTGATGTTTAGATTCAAAACTCACATTCCAGCACAGAGCCAAATGGAGACACACTGGCTCTGGTCTAAAACTAATTTGCAATTCAAAGTTTCAATAACACTTTATTCTAATTTACGCTCTAAACGATAAGTTACGCGTGGAGTGTGAATAACGTCTCCCAGCTTTTCAGCTGCTTTGAGGTTTGGGAATTGACTTAGTATGTTAAGATGACTCACGGGAAGAAATGAACCCAAAGATATGCATGATGAGAAACATCAGACTTACCATGATTTAGCACCCCTTCTTCTAGTAGTGCCTGCCACATCCCGACAGCATGGGAGCGAGTGAGCACACAGGCGCTCTGCAGCACCAGCCAGTCCACCAGCTCTGTGCCTACACAGCACTGTCTGCAATACACATGTAAACACACTGTTTACTGTATATTTACTGTGGGGAGGTTTAAAAATACTTAATGTTATTTTCTGTAAATCAACACCACATCCACAGAAAGCTTCCCCAAGCACTTGAATCACATAATTTTACAGAAATACAAACAGAACTGCAGACCCACATACCTGTATGTCTTCAGGTGATACTTCCTGTCTCGAATCATGTGAGGGGCTCTGGACAGGATGGCGTTGCGGAGAACCTTTCCAGCTCTCTGCAGCTTCTCTGAGGGGATCTGCAGAACACAGGGACGTCGGCTTAGGTGACTTCATCTAGTCCATCTAAATCTCTGACTGACTAGATTGAGATTTTTTTTGTAAAATAGGCTGCGATAGAATCCATCATGTTGATTGTTAATTTTGTTGGTCAAGCTTTAAGTGGTGTGTGTTGGTAAGAAGAAGTTTGGGAACCATTATTTATCCAGGATTGTGGTCCGATCGCAATCTGAGTCAAGTAAGAATCCACAGTTGTTTCTTTATTGGATACACTGAGTAGTCACTCACAGTGCAGGCCAGGAAATGAAATGAATTTAGTAACTTGTTTAGCAGCAACAATAACCATCTGATGTTTCCTGTAGCTTCTGCACGGTGATGAAGAGTCATTTTGGAGCCTCGCGCCCATAAAACTGCTCTTGCTCATCGATATTTATGGGACATTTTGGTTAAACAGCCACAAAATCACAGTTTGCTTAAGATCAGAACACGGGTATTCCAAAAGATAAATTCTCCTCTTGTTAAAGCACTCTGATGTTGACTTACCTTTGTATTTTGGTACATTGTATTGTTGCAGCACTCAACCTTAAAGTTAGAGTGTTTAAAATATCACCAATAGATGTCAATAGACTTCTGTTAACTGACTTCTGGTTTCTTACCCCTCCCTATTTAAATACATAATCATACACAACTCTATGACACAACGCCTACGACTTCTCTTTTCCTCTACCTTTGGTGTGCTACATATGTATATGTGTATAAAATGCAATTATTCAGGATGGCGATGTCCCTCTTGGCCACTGTATTCAGGATAGCTGGGCAGCATGGCGGCTTCCACAAACCATTGCCCACCTTTATGTATTTTTAATGATTTAATTCTAATTTTATGACAATGCATCTGTTTTTTGGACATAATCACACACTGATCAAATATATTTATGAGTACAATGTTCTTTTTTCTATTAAATAAATAAAATTTAAAAAATGGTTGACTGCACATTGTAGTGTCATGTCATGGCCTACCGCCCTCACATTCTCGTGTAAAACCTTTAGTAATAACATTTTTAATTCCTTCTTGTTCCCCTCAATGACGGCAAGCCAACCAAGCGTTCAGCTGGCAAATTAGGCCCTAACATGATGCTCCCTCCGCCATGCTTCACAGTTAAAATCTCATTAATTGAGAATGTGATTTTGAGTAGCACAGAACAAGCAGCACTTAGCATTCAGTAGCCTTGTTGTGTGTGCAAAAAATGTCTGACATCAGTTTGCTTATATTGCGTGTCTATAATCATGATTTAGACAAAGATCAGCTCAGGTTTTATGTTTAATCAATGCAAAAAATTCCAAATAATTCACAATTTTTTTCTTACAGCGATATGTGAATGTGTACATGTGCAGATTCTGAATGCTGCTCACGTAAACTATGGATCACTCAAACAGTAAAACTGTATCAAAACACACAGCACATACAAGCAGACACATCCTTTATAGGGCGCACCTGCATAGACAGCAGGGAAAATGACAGATGTGTGTACACACACACATCTGCTTCTGAAAACAACAAAGGAAGGCATTTTAAGTGGGCAGATGGGATCTTTCTTCTGTGTGCATGCATTATCTAACATTAGCATAACTACAGAGCATCACAGCTGTGAGTCATCATCGGTCTCTCCTCAGAAAATACACGCACATCCAAAATTCATTCTGGCACTCTGGTTCATTCACAAACATGAAAGTATGCAGCATTAAAAAACAGCTCGATTCTATGACCCCCGTGGCCCGGTTTACCACATGTTTCCGAGAAATATGCAAGTTACTTTCAGTTTTGGATGTTAACAAAAACAAAACATTGAGCTGATGTAATGATTACTTATTTTTGCTTATTTTACTTACGTATTTGAATTAACTGCATCTTTTTAATTTCAATTATGATCACTATCAGGTTTTTATGTATCTACCCTTCAAGTTGCAAACAGTGTAGACATGGCTCGAAAACTGGGAAAATGGAAAAACAAGAGTCTTAACTGCACATTTAAATGTATAAAGGTTTTAACCTGAAAAATATTTAAGTTCAAAATGCATTAATAGCATTGCTTCAAACATTAAAAAATACACAACTGCTGCTCAGCTGATTTTTGCACAGTTCTAAATTTGTCTAGAAACTTCTGCTTAGAGATATTTTGACAAGCAGTGACAAAAGTGGGTTTTTTAGTCAGGTTATGATGGTCTAGAATTTTGTTAAGTCATGCTTTCTGTAACTTAAGGCTGGGTCTGTTTCTCATTTTTTAGTTACAGTAAACTAATCTAAGAACTTCATTTAGGTTGAAAATGTAATCAGGAGGAAACATTTACCTTGTTGTGAGCTTTGTTTGCAGAGTCTGAATTCATGTTGTCTTTGTCTGTGAGTCCTGAGGAGAAAAACAAAGATTAATGCTAAAGCACAACAGGATGCTCTGCTTCCCAAAAGCAAAAAAACACTCTATATCAACTTGAAGAAAAGAAACATAACAATTTTATATTTACATATACACAATATAGACTCATCCATCCTTTTAACAGGCCGGGAAGGAAAAGACCTGCTTCCTGTTTTCAGTCATCATACAGAAGTCTCCATCTTTTTTTGTGCATCTGCTGCACATTTCCAATTTATTACTTGCAATATGTTTGTACGCGTAAAAAAACGTTCATTGAATAAACATTTAAGCAACACCCAGAGTGTCTTTTTCTATTCCCGTGTGTCCACTTGTGCATCTACTCACTGTCATTGTTGGATCCACTCTCCATGGCTCCATAAGGAGGGGCCAACAGTGCAGCCAGGCTCTGACGATACTTCTAAAAAGCAACACACATCAGAGGCCACATCAGTCTTGAAAACACCTCTAGCAGGGTATCATCTATAAAGCACCAACATCTTTTAAACATCAAAACCCATTCCTGTTCCATCTCTCTCTCGCTAAAGAGCACAATGTTGCTTGAACACAAAAGCGCCCCTCAAAACAAAGCCCTTTGTACAACCAAGATCATTTACATGCAGAACAACATTATATAATACACACACACACACACACACACACACAGCATTTAAACAAGGGTTAGACTGCTTTGATGTGTGCAGATGCTGTTCTTACAGTTGTACATTTCTGCAGCAAAGACTATGAAACACACAGAGTCAGAGCTTTTGTGTCTGAATGTGCCACTGCTCTTCTGCAAGGTCATTATCAAGCAACCCGTGCTTTCTGACAACTGCCAGGAATACACACACACACTGGAAGAGAAACAGAGAGAGCATCTGTTTGACCTAAAGACACAAACGCTCCCCTATCCATGTTTTTCTTGCACACACTCGATCCAGAAGCTAGTGAAGCTAAAACACTTCATGTCAATAGTAAAAAATGCACAAAGGTGATTCCAGGGAGTTTCATTCTGTAAAGAGACAACAACAGAAAAAAAAAACATACAAGCAAAGATTATGCACACTACATACTAGACACAGTTAAAGTCAAGGAGTCCGACTCACCTGAGTTAACACACTCAGCTGCTTAATACTGAAGGGACTGAAACCCCAGAGAGCTGCCCTCTGCTCCTTTACAACTCACGCACACGCCACCGGATAGCATCCTGCTCAAAACAAGCTGCTCTCTTCCTTTTTTTTCTCCCCTCTCTCTTCCTCCCTTCCACTCACACAGTCGCCCCACTGTCTGCCTCCGTCTCACTCACCCTCTCTCACTGCGATCACGCCAGGAACCAAGCCACTTTCTCTCACAGGTTACCAGGGTGATTCGAGTCTCTGTATTACTGAGCTACTCTAGTGTAGGAAAAGGGGTTAGTAGTCAGAGAAGGGAAAGGCAGAAGTAGTGTTGAAGAGGAGGAGGAAAGGAAGGAGGCTAACAAAAGAAACGTGGCCAATAGAAGAGAGGGGAAGCTGGCATTAGAAATGTAGAGCAGGTGAAAAGGGGCACAGGAATAAATCAGAAAAGAGAAATGAAGTAACCACAGTCCAGACCAGCTAATTATTAGCAGTAATTGTTAAATATAAAAACATGTCTGTAGGCTATTTCCCATTCAAACACTTTTTTGATCTCGATTTTACTAGAATTATGGAGCAGCACTTTTTTTCTTTCATCCTTTCATCAAACACATGACTGCATTCATCCTGTAGCTTTTTAGTCTCCACCACAAGCACACGCACACAAATTAGTCCTTGCACACGGGCGCACACATAAAACACAGAGAGCCATATTTTGGAGATAAGATTAGGAAAAAAACAAAACAAACAAAAGACAACAGCCTCAGGCCATGTTTTCTGTTTTATGTCCACTGTCCTTAAAATAGACAGTCGAGAGGGAGACAGAGTGCACTTAGTCAAAAACACACGCACACACACTCTACGAGCTGAATAATACGATGGCACACGTCGCTTTAATAACCAATTATTGTCTTATCTAGGTCTCATGTGTTCCTGTAGCACAAAATGGAGGAATCACATTTGAGTAAATTGAATTTCAATTCATCCACGGTCACACGGGAAAAAGTCTTTTATATTTTTTTAGACCAGATAAATCAAAACAATGTGATGGATAAAATTGTTTGCGAGAGGGGTCCTAAAATCTGATTTAAAAGCCAAAAAACACCAGACAGAAAATAGTTGTTTTTTATAACCAAACTGTCAATTACCTGCAATTTCATTAAAAATAAGAACCATCAAAAAAAAAAAAACTACTGTTTTCTCACAATCGCTGTATCGAGATGAGAACCGTAGTGTGGGTCGGAAAGATTCTGGATTCTGCGATACAAAATAACCACCTGTCAGCCCAAACAGCAGCTCAGACCACACAGTCTTTCATTGTGAGGTTACAGTGAAGTGCTGCCCAGCTCTGCCACGACTTCCTCTCTGAGAGAGAAACAGTGAATGGAGCTTGTAACTCCAACAAGGAGGCCCACAGAGAGGCATCTACTACAAAGCCAAATCTCTCGGGGCAAGGCTGTGTGTGTGTTCATACTAGTAGGTTGTGCGATATAGTAACTTTTTGCAACTGACTGTGAGCTTTTACATCATTTGTTATCAAATCATATTTTTATTTTATTTATAAAGCACACAAAGCTGACGCAGGAGGGTCACACAATAAAATGCCACACGCACACACACATCAAACAACAACAAACCAGCACTTTCAGTACTTTTTGTTCATATTTATGCTGAAGATACTTGATAATGACTTCGGCTGTCTGTTTGGGGTCGTCGTTCTGCTGCAGAATACATTTGGGGCCAATAAACAACCATTCATATTTCTGAAAGCATTCTTTGTTTACAGCTTTTTTTTCCACACATGCCTAAAACTTTTGCAAGGTACTATAATGAGATCGAAATTCAATATCTGGTATTACCAAATCTATTACTTGCTATTGCTGTTGCATTGAAATCTGATGATTCTTTTCAGTTTTAATAATTCCATTAGTGCTGACAAGATCCCAACACCACTGGCTGAAATGCAGCCCCAAAACAATGCCAGAGCCTCCACCATGTTCTTCTGTAAGTTGGCATACTTCAGCTTAATTTTCCTGTTTCCCTTCCTGAAGAATAACTTTTTGACTTACCTTCTCCTTCTCTTAGATCATTTCTGATGAAGCTGCAGATAACTCAGCTGAAGGGTCTGAAGCATCTCTCTGGTCCTGCGCCAAGTTTTTGACATATTTGTTCTTAAGGACATGACTTTCCTATAATATAACATATCTATAGTTTAAGCCTTCCACTTCTTCTTTAGTCCTCCACTTGTCCAGTTTCCTCAAAATTTCTTAAGGACAATTTTCCCACCAGGCTAAGATCTACCAAGATTTCAGCTAATAGCTCATGGGAGTCACTTTATTGGTGCAAAAATGCTAATGCTAATTTTTGCTATTTGCCCAAACATAGCATTTAAAATAGATTCTTTGCTAAGTTGTATTTTGACACAACACTGATTCATTCATTGAGTTTGCTACTTTTTAATACTTCATGTACTTGATTCTTATTTTAACAAACAAAGAAAAAAACATGGAAATAGTAAAAGGACTGGACTGAGAGTGAATAAAAAAAAAAAAAAAAGCAGCCAATAACCAAAGAAAAAACGTTCAAAGAACTTCAGAAAGTCTCAATTTAACAATTGGAAAAAATCTGGCTCCTTACATAAATAAATAAATTAATAAGGGGTGGCTCAAGACTTTTGCACAGTAATATCAATATTATTTCCCTTGCCTAATGTATAGCCTCTTGTGTATGATCTTTTCATGTTTAAATATGTTTATGAATACTCAGCTTAGATGAGAGTGTAAAATAAGATTGTATATATTATTACATTACCATTCATTATTTAGTTACTGAATATACAGTATATGGTATTATGGCTACAGCCTATCCTAGCTGTCACTTTGCAAAAGAAGGAGAAACACCCTGGACCAAGACACAAAGACAGACAACCACACTCACATTCACATCCCTCGACCTCCTGTGCATGTAATGTGCTGTGGTAGGAAGCCAGCATGTCAGGAGAGAATCCATGCAGTACACAAGGAGAGCATGCAAACTCCACACAAGCTGCGTAAATCCCTTTTTAAGGGAAAACATACTCTGAAAACTTCGTAAGCATCTTCTGGTTTCTTAAAAGAATTGTCCTTGGGCTTTTTGTTTTGATGGCTGCCTCACTGGAGAAACGTGACAGTTCATCCGAGGCAGAAAACTGTATTTCAGACATGCAGATACAGATCACTGAATTACAGTACGTCCTTTTGTTTGCGGCTTTGTTATTGTAGGAATCTGTGTAACCTGCCTAAACAGAAAATGTAATGGCATTTTTGGGACTTTATAGTTAGTTTTACATAGTTTTATAGTTTTTTAGTTTAAGAAACCAAAACTATTATGCATATACATTAAAAAATTGTACCTATTCAAACAGATTAACCTCTTTACAGCAGCTTAACAACGTTAAATTGCATTTAAAATGTCCTTAAAATCATCCTTTTAATATTTCTCAGAATTAAAATATTTTGTTATCAACTCAAAGGCTAAAGGAAATCTGAGAATACCTTTATTTTTCCAAGTAGGAAATGTGAATCCAATTAAAAGAAATTAAAAAGGAATCATTTAACTAATCGTGTTTAGATTTTTCTCACTGTTCTCACTCTGTGTATACTTTAAATAAATCACTGTCAAGTTACCCGAGGGTGTGCAACTAATAGATGTGCAAAAAGGCACCGTAATGGTGGACAGCCCTCTTGTGGTTAAAAGCACAATTACAATAAAAGTCTCAAAAGCAAAGCTCTTTCCACAATGGAGTTCATGCAGAATCATGAAGTTTCATCTCATGTCACACCTCCCAGAGAGTCTTAAACTCCCTCTGTTCGATCCGGAGCAGCTCGCTGGTCTCTCTGCTGACAATGGTAGCATGGCGCGGCGTGTTGTCCAGGATCGACTCCCCAAAGGCTGTCCCAATCCCCAGCGTGCAGATTGTGACTGCATCCTGCACACAGACATGACAACTTTTAGTCACTGTGTTTCTATAACAGACGAGCATTTGTTATTGAGCAAACATGCTTTGTAGCAGCATTCACTATGCTGCTACAAAGCAGTGAAATTATACAGCAGTAGCTACAAGCAATGTGCATTAAGTTATTTTAATGAACTCGGACAGACATGGAAAGCAGACAGATTAATATGTGCAAATGAATGCAAATAAATCCAAATATGAGCAACTGCTGTTTACTGTAAGACAAACATCTCTCGGTGCTGTATATAATTGGGCAGAATAGAGGGAAGCAATGGACGCATATTCACTGCTTAGTGATTCAAACAAATACACTACTTGCTATAGAAACCTTTTCAGCTGTCCAAACTGACATTTCAAATATAGCCACAGAAAGTAGGCCACCAATTTCACTTTAGGGCTACATACATGAAAAGGACGTCTCACAATAGAGGAGCTTCTTATCGCCGTCTTTCTTTCGAAGCAAATCCTCTCTCCTTCTCCTCCCACGTGTCATTCTTCCCCACTACATGTATAGTATAACTCTATTTCCACGCTCTCACAGCGAGGGTTTAAAGTAAGGGGGAAGCCAAATTTCTCAGTGGCAGTTTCGCTCTGGTATATTTAGGAAGGGAGGCACAAATGGAGGCTAAAGAGTCAAACAAATTCAGCTCTCAAACATACAGGACAGAGTAGAAGCCCCTTAAAAAGGATCTTGTTTGATAGAAAATATATAAGAGCACTAGGAAATATCAGCCATGAAAGTAACATTACCAATCCAAAAGCATCCAAGTCATTATTCATGCATGTTTCTCAATGTGACTCTCACCTGGTGGTTAGCGGTTTCTGACACTTTGACATCCAGGGAGCCAGAAAGGACTGCATACCAGCTGGTGCCAATGTCTCCCTGTCGAAACACTGCGTGCAGTAAAATACATTAAACCACATTGAGAGCTGATGAAAAACATCACTAAGACAAAAGCACTCATAAAAACATGCCCTGCCATCTGATGATAAACCACAATCACTGCTGAAAGAGACATCAGCCAAAAAGGTTTTGATACAATGATAAATTAATAATAAATATATTTGCAATAAACTGAAATGTGTTTGAAAAGGTTATGAATGCACCTATAAAGGAAAGCGTTTTAAATATTTTTATCTTTAACTGAAAATAAAATGACTTGAGTTCAAATAAGCAAAACAGTGACAAAACGCTGGTGTTAAAGTAGCTACATTAAATATTGTCTTGATTTTGTGATCATTAAATTACACTACTATAAGTAGTATATTGGATATAGGGCCACAATTTGTTGGACAAAGACACAATTTTTGCAGTTTTGCTTCTCTACGTCACTGCAGTGAATCTTAAATCAATCAGTCGTGGTGTGACTGAAGTGCAGACTCTCAGCTTTAATTTGCATTAACGGTAAAAAGACATTTTTATTTATAATCCCCCAATTTCATAGACTTATATAGAATTAATTGGACAAACTAACAGGATTTTAAACCCAAGGATTTTTTTTAACACATGGATGAAAATCCTTTGTGACTGTGTGGGAAGTCTACAATCCATGGATGTCACCAAATGCTGTATTTCCTCCCTTCAATGCTCTGCTTAGGTCTTTGCTGCAACCACCTTCTGTTGCTGCTTGTTTGTGGCTCTCTCTATGACTTAAAAGTCTCCAGCAACTGTAAAGCATGCGCTGCTGTGTTGAGATCATGTGACTAACCTGACCCGTGAAGAATATCCCGTTTCTTTGCCTTGAGAAACTCTTGGGTTGCTTCTGCAGTATGCTTTTGCAGCATTTTTCTAAATCTGAGCAGAGAGTACAGCCATGTACGCTTCACAGGTCATCCTGCTGCTTCTATCATCTATCAGCAGTCTCACCATCAATAAATACTATAGTGACCCAGTTCCACTGTCAGCCTTATGTACCCATGCCCTAACATTTTTTAGATGATACACCTATTCCTCAGGAGTGTCCTTGACTTGGCTAGAAGTTGTTTTTCATAAGCCTTGATTATAATCCATTGTGAATACAGACACAGGCAGCTGGAGACCCAGTCACAAAAAACAGGCAGGATGCATACACGGACCCTTGCGCTCATCTTCTGATGATGAAATTTACCTAAATCACTTGGACTCTCTCAGACTCATGGACGCAGGAAGTATAACAGAAGCTTTAACCATAGAAATACTTCTATCATAATCCATTTTAATTGCCCTCTGTGGTCTTTTAGGCCTCTCGGTATCCTGAGCTGGTCGTTGCAGTCCTCCTTTTTAAGAATACACCACATTAATACTTCGGCTACCCCTAAAGTTTTTTCTATCACTCTGACAGACTGAAAGCAAAACAAATTAAACCTAATGATGGCCTCCCTCACTGGCACTGACATCTCTTTGGGCTTCATATTTAAAATGAATGTGAAAAGCTATAAAATGCAAATTCAAGACTTTTAATCAAATCCAGATATTATGTCTGTTTAATTTGTCATGAAATTACATGAACAGGCCCTACTTGGCCATGAAACTGCTTTTCGGTGGACTGTCCAATTAATTTTAAGCTTCTGAAAACGGTGGACTGTGAATAAAAAATGTCTGTAATTCCTAAACAGCTGACACAATATTTTTGTTAAACCCACTGAATTAAAGATGTGTTTCAATCACATATTGGCTGATTGATTTAAAATCCACTGCTTGCAGAAAAATCAAAAAGACAAAGCATGAAGTCCAAAAGGAAAACATATAAAACAGACTGGATCCAGGAAACAATAGGGCAAGAGGAACAGAGTATTGGGAGGATACCACTGTATATACTTACTCCTGTAAGTATATCGTATACTTATAGTATACTTATACTTATATAGTGGTATCAGGGAAGGGGAGAGAGCTAGGGAAAATGATACACAGTTGAACTAAATCACAGAGGATGAGGCAACATAAGCAAAAGTAAAAGCAAATACAAGGAACAATTAATAATATTAATATTACTATTGCACAAATTAGTTAAAAACAGGCATTGAAGAAGGTTAGGCACATTTTTGCATTCCAGTGCATCCTAAGTCTTACTGTGCTCTCTCCTTAGGAGACAAAAAGGTATATTATATACTGTATGACGATTTCCTCCAATCCTTTAGAGCCTGACTAAACTCAACAGCATCAAAGACATCATTTTACATTCCTGTCAGTATTGTGTGTTTGTGAGCGTGCGTGTACGTACACGTGATGCCTTTCTCCAGGCATTCATAAAAGGCACAGGCACAGATCTGCAGTAGGAGCGGAGGTGGGAACCTCTGGAAGGCTTTGACCTCTCTTAATCGGGTCAGAATAATATCCACGTCCTCTCCCGAGCGCTCCGCAGGCCTGCGCAGAGGAAGAGCCACCGTTAAACCCACACGAGGCATTAAAAAGGTGTATAAGGGGTTATGCAAGAAACAATTGGCATGATGTAACTTGTTCAGCGTGATGGATTATCTATCTTATTCAGGTCTATTTCAGCCTGAACGATAGCAAATCAATCAAAATCCTGCAGTATGCTTTCACTAGCAGTCATGTTAGACAATTGCAATTATCAGTCAATGGACTAAACCGTGAGAAAGCAGCGATATTGCCCTTTAAGTAAGAAGGCTGCTCTATTGTTATAATATTTTCTATGAATATTTGTGCGAGAGCACACTGTCATTGTTCTGCCTGGTGTCTTAGTGATAACAGTGAAGAGCTGCAGGCACAGTTTCTCTCAGCTCAGGCCCCCCACAGGCTGTTGATGTAAGATCTCATTTGTACTGCTGCTTTTTCTAATGCGCTTAAATCTGAGCACACACACACACAACTAAGTCATTGTTGGACATCTAAGCAGGCACACACACAAGAGACTGCACGCACACACACAGAAGTTTGATCTGCGAGCTTAAACAGTCTGTTCTGAGACGAGGTGGTGCAAAAATACCAGGCCAAAATGTCTCAGAGTAACACACTGCACTTAGCACCATTCATTCACTTATTTTCCCCTTTTTTTCCTGATAGTGACTCATCCTTGCACGTGTGTGTGTAAGTGTCTGTGCGTGCATATATGTGTGTGTTCATACAGAATAGCTAATGCACTGTGGGCTCTTCCTTCACAGATGAGAGCCTCTCAGTCCCCTCTTCTGCTTCATCTCCTTCCTCTTCCCTCACTCCCAGCCCTCACTCCTTTCTGTCTGCTTCTTCTAAACCTTTCTCTAATCACCATCTACTTTTCTCTTCTTCCCCTTTCAAGACTTGCCCGTTTTTAGAACATGATAGCCAAGACTGAAGGGGACATATGCAACCCATTTTTCTCCTTTTCACTAGAAGCACAGATTCCTGGTGCATTTAGTGCCACCACTTACACATACCAAACGCCCTATTTATCCCTTTACGTCTGCTCTGCAAGCTCAAAGGCAAGAGTGACTCCCACTTTACTCACATGTAGGTACGTGTGGTAATAAACGCCGAGCACGTGTGTCACGAAGCAATGAAATGTACCTGCACCGTGTACCTGGAAGGGTTTGCCACAATAAAAACAGATCAAAGGCCGCGTTGCACAGCCTATCTTCTATTCCCATATCAGCCACGAGCTCAGAGCTTTTAAAAGTGGGTCTTTTTTCCCCTCTCACATTCTTTCTTTATTTTTTTTGGTCTCTGACTCATCCACCTAAAGCTGCTTCAACAAGGTGTCATATCCCAGAGTAGGCTGGGTTAATGGTTGAGACAGGTGGGCTCCCACACACTACGACAGACAGGGAGAGACAGGGAGGTGAACTCTGCAGGGTTGAATGGGTAATACAAACACCACCCTTCACATATCGTCCCCTGGTTAAGTCTTCGCCCTTTCCCTTTTGTCCACTAACCTGTGCTTGCTCACTCGCTTCCTGTCGGGAGGAATCTGCCTCCCCCGCTGGTGAGAGAAGAATATGACCTGAGAGTTGTTCACCTTCTATCACTGTCCCTTCATGTCTCCCCTCGACCTCTTCCTTTTGTCAGCCTTCCCCTCTCCCTCCCCCACTCTTCGTGTCAGCAGAGATCTCAGCTTTCAAGCACAAATTATGGCGTGTGCGAACACACACACACACACACACACAAACAAAGGATTAACAAATCGACCGGCGTGACACACTGAAGACAAAAACCAAGAGACAGCAGAAGGTCATGCAGATTGTTTCTTGAAACAACCATCTGGAAAAATTCACTGTTCACAGACAAATAAATCAGAGGTTGATTTGTGGCAGCCTGTCAAAGTGCCACACAGATTCAAAACAAACAGATTTATTCGCCTGGTGGATTAATACATTACTGCAACACAGATTATGTGATCGTATACAAGAACCTCTTCTGACACTCATCTGCATCACCACTAACAACCAGAGATGGTGTTAAATCACTGAGCAGCATAAACCCTGCTCACTTTGCATTCAAATGACCAATTAGAGTTAGAAATGACTCATCAAGTTTTGCAAGATTTGAAAATTAACCTACATAATACGCACACTTATACTTTTCACCTATGAGGAATTGCTTTTGCTAAGACTTACAACTTTGATATGTTACCCTAGTGCTAGACAAAAATATTTTCCTGCAATAAAAAAGGCATTAAATATAAACTTGGATCTGGCTTGGTGCTGTGTGTGTACGTTGAGTGTACCATCTATTTAACTCCTGGGTCAACAGAAAACAAAGCAAATAAGATCTTATCCCACATACTTCACAGCCACTGGCAATAAATGTCTTCGGACAGATATATTACAGACAGTCGTATCTTAACCTCTGTCTTTCTTTCACCATCCTCCCCTCTCTGCCTCTCACTCCTCACTTGCTCACATCAACAGTTAGCATAGATGAAAGCTCCCAAACACGCATACACACATACACACACTCCTGGATATTGATTGAATAAGAGGTGGATAGCTTAAAAGCACTGAGTGCTCTACAGAAATTTCCTGCAGAGTCTTTATGAACATCCAGCTAATACTGCATACTGGTGACTTTAAGTTTCCAACATAATTATTTTAGCCTTAATTTCGGTAGAT